CAATGCAATACACTACCATTCAGTACAATATAGTACAATGCAATACAGTGCAGTCAGTACATTACAGTATAGTACAGTACAATACAGTAGACTGCAGTATAGTGCAATATGCTACAATGCAAGACAGTGCAGTGCAGTACAGTAAAGTATAACAAGGGCGGATCCAGGATTATTTGAAGAGGGGGTCCGATTTTTCAGGAATGACAGGCCACGGCCCTCCTTGGAGTGTTTTGGAGGGCAAACAGTGCCATTTGGAATATAAGAACTATAAAGCAGCTAGTCAAAATTCTAATTCCAAGAGGGGAATATCAGTGACATCCCCCCCTCTAAATCCACCACTGTATAGTACAATACATACGTATATGGCAATCATTGGATCTTTTCAATGGGCATAAAGTATCAATCTTTCAGTGACATTATTTCAGAACTATAAAACTTATATTTCTATATAGCACTTGTGGTGCTTTTACTGCACAGAAATAAGGTAACCTGCTTTTCAATTTTGCTGCTACCACTCAATAAGACTGTTCTAATTTTAAGAAATTATGACTTAAAAATACAGTACATGTGAAACTCACTGTTTCCCCATGTAAAGAGTCATTACCGTACTGCAAACCCAATGCTCATTGCAGTTGAACTTTGTCTATAATAGAACTGCAGCTACTTACTTTTAACCACCAACCAAAGAAATGTGTAGGAACAAAACCATCCATTTTATCCTGAAAGTAAAATGCATGAAAATATACAAGCTGATAAATGAAATAATACTTAAGCATTGTTTAACAAAATTTATACCAGAACTATCTTTGTCTCAATACTTTTAAAGACAGCTATCCTCAGAGTCCTGGGCTTGTATCATGGTACAATATGACAAGTACTTGTAAAAAAAATAATACCTGGCCATCACTTGAACAGAAGAGGGTTTTTACTTAAAATTTTCTATGCTTTATTTATAGCAAAATTTTACTCTTGCAAAACAGATAATTTTTGTTAAACATCAAAAGTTTTTTAGACACAAATTGAACATTTGAATCAACATTTTCAGCATTATTAACAGGACAATATTTTGAGAAAAACTATAATTTGGTTTAAATTTCATGAGTTATTACCATACTTTGTAAACTTGGACCACGCCCCCTGTTACTCTTACCTTGAGATTGTGGAAGGGATCCTCAAGTTTAGAAGGGTCATATATCAAACAATTGCCACCATAATCCTTCTCTGGAAGTGGCTGACCCAGTGTTTCATCAAAAAAAGTCAACAACTTTCTGGCATTATCAACAGTCTGAAACAAAAAAAAAATTGCTTTTCGTGTCAAATAAAGGCATAATAATCATCTTTTTATTCCGTTCTTCAGTGAATGGCTGCTCTCATATGCAAAATTCAATACTTGCTGAATAATAAATGCCAAAATCACTTGATATTTATTTTCATGCTATCTTCTCTTATTCCTCAGAATTTGTATCTTGGTACATGTGCCAACTACTTTGTTCTTTAACTATTGGTAGTAGGCCTTCAAACAAAACTGTAAATCATAAAAAATTATTCACCAAACAAATCATAAAACAATGGTTTAATATGAACAACAGGATAAGTGCAAGTGAGTAAATGTGTAAAAACCTTACCTGGAAAAGTAGGAAAATCAGGGCTAATTCATATACAATACTAAGGCACAGGATCAATCTCCAAAAGGCTGGTGATCGAGAAATAAAAAATAAAAGAAGAAGTCACTTCAAACTCAATTCAGTAGGTCAAACAAAACATTCACAGTAGCGGTTCAATCTACAAAGACTTTTACGTCAACAGAATTTTTCCCCCCGAAATATAACCTTCAGTCATGTGAATCAGAAATTGGTGAAAAGCACACAAGTCATTCACAGTTTAAATGTCCATGCAAAAAAATGTATGTGATACACTGGAACAAAAGCCCAGATTATCAAATCAATTACATTTGATTTATATTGCTTTAAAAATCCATGCAATAAACATAATGCACTGAATGCAATCATAAAAAAAAGGAGAACCAGTCACTCAGCAAAGCTGGTAACTATAAACATAATATTCCAAAATAACTACACTATTGACAGCAGATGGGCGGTGGGATACCTGCTTGAAAATCGTTTGATTAAAGTGACCTTAGTTTCATTTACGAAAAAAAAAAAAAAAAAAAAAAAAAACAGCACATTTTTAAAATTAGAATTAAATGACATAGTTTCATTTAAGAAAAAATGTAACTATTTTTAAATTAACATGTGTCCTTAGATGAAGCAACTGTATTTTTCTCCTTTCAAGATGTCAGAAATAGAACTGAATGTAAACTGTCTATTCCAGCTATTCCTATAAAAACAAATAGTTGTCAATAAAAGAATTTCCATTACAAGACTACGTTAATGCAGTTGATGATTTGGACATAATGAATAAACATATCAGTGTATTAAAGTCACTGTTTACATCATTTTGAAAGAAATTCTTTTCTGTGCATAAGTGTTATATATATAAGACTGTCATTCATTTATTTCTCTGCTGATAATCTGCAGGTTAACTTAAGGCAAGCATAAGGACCAGACTTTCTAATAACAGAACTTGCTCATTTGAAAAAAAATCTGAAGAAAAAGGAAAAAGATGGAAAAAGAAGAAGAAGAAAAATATTAAATCTACATCTTATATGGACCTGATTGGCTGTGCCACAGGTGCCAACAAAAACAATCCTAGCTTTGATAGCAAAACCAATGTTCACAAACAACTCATCCACCCATGTGGAATTAAAGAGCAAAGCTAAATGCAAGCATTTCAAGTCAATTTCCACTGTAACCTTAAGCTTATATTAGTGTTTACTGCACCAAAGATTGATGACCATCATAATCACAAATCCTTTTAAGTTGTTACACCATCAGATTTCTTTTAAGACACTGTAGCTGTTTTGAAAGCTATTTCCAATTAGCAAAGTCTCCAGAACAGAAACATGTTTAATTTACTATAAATATGTTCCAACATCAAGAAGACAACATGCTGGATTGAGTTGTGGAAAACAACCAATACAAACTGATATCCTTAACCATTGTGGAATACTAATGACTGCCCATCACATTATCAGATGGTGTAATTACTTTATTTAAAAAACAATGCATGAAATGAGTGCACAAAGGTGTGTGTGCGAATTACTCTTATTATCATACTATTGAATTTATTTATGTTATTAAGCCAAAACCTAAGTATAAAACTATGCTCAAACTGAATTTTAAGAAATGTTATTATAAGAAATGATCTATTAAATATCTTGTATAAATTTCAGTTTCAAAGTTGCTACTGACATACATCATGCATACAGCAGTCATACTTTCAGTCCTTGTGTAATGCTACCAGGAGATCACAGCAATTGGGATATCATGATGTATGAACTACTTTTTAAAAAGACATACTGTCAAAGCATGATATTGTGCAAAAAGCTATGCATTAAACCAGGTTTCAAATTGAAAAAAATAATAATAAATTTTTTTTTAAAAGTCAGATCAAGGATTAATCTGCATATTCTACAATGCCATGTATCTACAATTCACTTGAACCAAAATATGATTTTCAATACAACAAAGCTAGGTGCCTTATTAGAGAATAAATAATGTTCTCACCTGGATGTGGTCTTTTAAATGGTCCATCAGGAGTCTGTGTAACACCAAATAGTAAAAATGCTAATATCACTGCAGTGATTCCTCTGAAATAAACAGCAGACACATGAGGCTGGTTTTAATAAAAAAAAAAAGTTATCTGCATTATTTCATGGAGTTTCATCCCTGTTGCAGTATTCAGGTGAAACAAAATAAATAAATGTTAAAAATAATAAGAAGAAAAGTGCAAATTGCAGCGATATGTGCTTTATTCCACTACAATAATATTTTTATTCATTTTATGTGCCAATGCCTAACATTAATTGCATATCTTGCAGGTAAAAATATTACAGCTTTCGAAAAATAAATAAATAAATAAATAAATAAATAAATAAATAAATAAATAAAATAAAATAAACTCAATATGTTATCATTATTCAATAAAAAAATTCATAAACAATTTAATAACACAAATTATTCAAAGAAATATCTGCTTCAACTATAAAATAAAACTTGTATAGTGAAAAGCTATGACAACCATGGTGACATTTTTTTCCACTTTTCCACTGGCAATGTATAATCTAAACAGTCATTTACAAATAACAGATTGACATATCTATTGCATGTGATACCCAATGCAGACGCACTTGGGGTGTTAAAAAGGCTCATTTTTGTCCCTTAAAATGTCTTTATCATCATAAAAAGAACATTAATTCAATTGACTGATTATGAATACATACATTTACTAAAAGTTGTCATATGATGATAAATAATGAATAAGCACTACGTGGGTTTGAAAGTAATGCAATAATTTCCTGTGCACCACAGAAAAATTGGGACTATGGCATAATGATGTGCGAACATATTCTGGCAGTAGATTGCCACCTATTTCTGACACCTTGTTAAAACAATTTCCCCAGAGGATGAAAACTGCATCAATGCCATCACTAATGGAAACAGTGAAAAATATGGCCTGTAATCACCTTTTTGTGTTATACTCCACATTTACTGTTGGATCCTCAAAGAGTGCCACATAGACCAGAATGCATGTGAATATCACCAGGACGCTTATTGTGTGAGCTCGCCTGAAATAAAAAAAAAAATTAAAAATTGACAAAAAGTTCAACCCCTGTTAATGAATATATGAAAGTACCTTTACAATTAAATTACAATTTATACAAAACCTTTCAATATGTGAGGCTACCAGCATTTCCTCACAATTTCCTAAGGTTGGAGAAAGACAATTAAAACCAATGCCCAGACCCTAGAAACATCACCATAACAAAGAAAAACAAAACATTCATTAAAATCTCTCATAATTCATAACTATCGCTATTGGAAGAAGGCCTCTAGGTGTACACAGGTATAAAATCAAAGCAATCACTGTGACAGAGGACAAAAGCCAGTCGTTGGAATTAAACTTATAATGATGTATACATATACTTGCAGACACACAATTAAAAACAGGCACAAAGATAGTAATCAGTCCTCAGAATCCTTTTATATAAAGAATATTTGAATAATGAAGCTCATTACAAGAAATAATCAGTATTCCTTCAATTTGCAGTGGTGGTAGCTAGTACAGTAGATGTCAACTGAGAAGGTCTATGTTTCAATATGGTCTGACTCCAGGAATACCAGCTGCCTGCAGCGAAAAACATGTAATATCCCAACACAACCAGTATGAGATATTCATGGATTCTCTTTCTCATCAGTAAGGGTACTATTGATTGCATCCATGGTGATTTTCTATGTTATCATAATGGGTTAATCTCAGAAGTCACATTCAAAAACAAAAAATTAAGTGTTGAAATGAGCAAAATTATATCTATCACCCAGGGGCAAAGAAAAACGATCAAAACTTAAACAAAAAATATAGTTACCAGAAAAATGTCATAGTTCCATCATCAAACAGATGTTTGTCATTCATCTTATCTTCCTCCCAATCATGGGCTGTCTTTCTCTGCTCCTCCTCGGTATGAGCCATTTTTGATACTTTTGACACCATATGACCCCTTTCTTAGTAAAATTTCCTAAAATTAAAAAGGAAAAAAATTGGATGAAAGAATGAAAAGCTGTGACTGGCATCTTGCAAATATACCAGTAAGGTAACTTCTTAATGACTTGATTCATCATAGTAGGCAAGCCTCAGCACAAAAGGATAACAGTTCTGATTTCATTAATTTCCCAGTCATGTTCAACAACCCTGAAAACTGATAAACATGCATTTCTAGGATAAAATCACTTTTCTCTTTACTGTAGAAATGTTTCCCTTACAATATTGGTAAGCTAATTGCAACTAAGAAGTGACCATTGTAATGAAAATCTTCTGAGATGGTCTATGATGAGGCTGTCTACAGTCTGCAGTATCAGAGAAAAATAAAGTGCCAGAATCTGCATGAAGTGGGGTTAACTTTTTCCCCAACAATTAAGGTTAAAACTCTATCCACTGAGAATGTCATCTAAGATAATAATAAAAAGTGACACACAAAAACACTGTTGAATTCATATTGTTGTTCAATAGACTGTGATTTGACAGAACATGTTAAGAGACAACAACCTCGAAAATATCCGTAGATAAATTCTGTCTGTGACTGTCAGCTTATATTTGTTGCCACAGTGCAGTAGGTAATCTGCCATTCCTCCAAATACCATGAGAGTCGTGAGATTTTGTGCTATCTCAAATGATCCCTGTTGTCTAAATGGTGCCCTCAACATCAAAGTTTGCTGATATTGTCAACAGTGAAGAATATTATTAAAATGGATCTATTTCTAAGATCTGCAATTTTTATCAAAAAAACTTACATATAATGAAACTTCTAGTTGTTCCTCAAAGCCATTGTTATAAAGACTAGACTTATGAACTGTATTGCCTTGTGCACTCTGTGGCCTTATAAAGAGCTCAATAAAATCATGGTATAATTAACCTTTCACACGAAGTCTTAAAGACAGCATCTGTATCTTCGGTTGATCCTGAAAATCTTTCTCGTCCCACGCTTATGAACTGTATGATTTAATGAAAATCCCAATAAAATCATGGCATAATTAACCTTTCATGTGTAGACTTAAAAGCTTTATAGGTTTACAGTAAACAGATTCCCTTTTTGCTCGTAAGCTATAAATCATACCACGACAATGCAAAATCCCCCCCCCCTCAAGACACACACTTACAAGCACAAGCACTGCTCTCTGTTCTCAGCATGGAATAGAAAGAGAGAGTGAAACATCCACATCTCAATCTGAACAGACAGACTGCATCATCCTGTTTCCATGACATTTGTTTGAGATGGAAAAGTTTCTCCACATGCAAATTCTGATAACAGCCAGCCCTGATAACAACCAGTCTCTTACCGGCACTCACTGACTGCACTTTAATGTTTGTTTCACCTTCACCTTCTACAATAAACCATGGTCCTTTAAAATACAAAAGACCCACTCATGCAAAAAATGACTAAAACTTCTTTTATGCTTTATTCAAACAGTACTTCTATTATGTTTTTACAAATCATGAACTCGATCAATAACTATTGAACAACCTGGGTGATTGACATCATCTTTATTTGGTGTTTTACTAACAATTAACAAATTTAATTTAAGACATTCATATAAGAATATAAGTTGGACCACGCCTATGTCTTTTTTGGAAAAGGAACACATTATATGATATAGAATACCTATAGGGTCTAAAATGCTTTCTTACTTGAGGTCAGCTATTCAATATTGTTTAATATGCAAAATCTTATTGATAAATTGCAATGCAATTAAAAATTCAAGTTGCCATTCAACAGTTAATATGAAAGATGTTCAAGAAAAAAATTGTGCCATGATGAAATATATACAATTATGATTAAATGTTTTTTTTTTATATTTTATTGCTTAAAACACTCTTCATAATTTATGCTGCTTTTACATTAAATGGGTAAGGGCTTTCCTTTTGATTTGCTTGCTAGTTTTAGTCATTTTTCCACAAGCAAAACACTTGAAATTACCCTTTATTTTACAAAATGAACAAAAATTAAATTAAATGATAGAAAGTCAGGTTTGTTATTAGAAGAAAGAACTGTATGACATGCCATCTTACTGTCTAGGCCCGATTAAAGATTTCCATTAAATTTGACAGTATATCCCACATTTGCACATTGAGCAAGACAACTATTTGTCCATGCAAAACAACTCCACAATAATATAAAAAACGTAATGACAAAAATTCATATCTCCTTAGGATCAAAACTGGATTATGTCATAAGCACAAAGTGTATAAAGAAAAGTCATATTTTCCTGTATCAGGGCATGTATGTTATAAAATTAAAGCAGTCAAAAATTACATATTTCTACATTGGACTCATTAACTGCATCATCTTAAATCTATTGATCAAATATACTACCAGTACAATCTCAGCTCTACACACACTATGGGAACAATTATTACAGTTATTCCTATGTGTCCCACACCAAAATGATTAAACCAAGTTTCCAACATTGACTTGGCCAAAGTGCACAGATTTAAGAGGGATAGTAGTGAGTACAAACAAATAGAATCAGTATCTATCGAAGGTTTCTGACATAACACAGTTACATATCACAAAACGCTCTTTCTCAATTTCACTCTTCCATGGAGGAAATTTCCATCACAGCATCTTTATCTCAAATGCTTACAGATAAGGTATAACTTGATGGGAAAATCTGCATCAGTCTGATATTTGCTCAGTCTGAGTGTCAGCTGACTTCTTTATACAACATGTACTTGCTATACATGAAACATCTCTGCTATCAATTGTGTATATGCAGTAGTTCTTTCTATCATAAGCTACTGCTCATAACTGCTTCATGTTTATATAAAAATGTGCCTTTGTTTTTGTTACTTTTGAATCACCCTAACTGTAGCCCCCCCCCCTCCCACTTCAATTAACCTAACATGTACATGTACATGTACATGCCTTTTGAACCTATTAAAAACAAAACCCATCAACACAGCCACTCAATGACAACCTGGATCTATACAGCTATCAATATGCTGTACATAAAATTTCCCATTAAAAGCACAATATTTGTTAAGTTTACTTAACCATGTCAGTGCAAACATTTCAACATACACTTACTTAACTTGAAGTGCACTACATACAAGCATCACTTTCCTTTGCAGCACATGTATACACTGCTGTTATATTCATAAGCCAAAATTTCCATAAAATTTTCATTCATAATCCCAAATAAGTGTATTTGTGGTGACAATATGGACATTTACTCTCATAATGAAGATATTTACAACCTTTCCATATATAACCCGTAGCATACCATTATGCTCATACTATAGTATTTAGTGTCACAGATGTTACAAATTACACAAATAAAATGTCTTTTATCTGATCCTGAGTTAACCTTAACTGATACGATATATCCTCCACTAACATGAACCCTGACTTAACACTGACCTGGATTTAAATGGGTATGACAGCTTTCTCTAATTGAGCACTATACTCTTTCTGCTGTAGGCGACAGCTAGCTAGAGCACAGGTTGCTATGAGGTGTTTTTTTTAAACCTGCATTATGTTCGATATCTCAGTTAACCCAATTTTGAGGAATCCCATGTTAGGTAAAGACTATAATGGTGCCTTTACTATAAAAGCTCTCAAAAGTCCCCATATGCCTCAGCTACAACTAGGAATTATGTGCCATTAAATAATGCTATAACTTGTTTTCTAATGTAGAACACTGAGAGTACATGTACCTGTGCCATGTTTGGATAATTGTTGGGTACTTCCATGATTTACCAACAAAAATCCAAATTAAAATAAAAAAAAAAGCACCTGAATATACCTACCACAGTTATGAATCTGGATGTCCTCCACATTGGCATGATTAATGGACTATACAGTGAAACAACCATTTCTGTCACAGCACTTCCGTACATAAATCAGGAGAATGGAAGAGACTGGCTATTACTGGTTTTAAATAGCTTCTGGCTTTCAAGATCCTAGTTATTATAATATCTTCTGAGACATGCTAACAATCTGCACCTTGGGCTTTTTAGTCACTGATCACTCACACTAATGACCTCAGCAAACTTCTAGCAAGAAACAAAATGAACTATTCAAAGATGAAGTAAATGAAGGTCACTGTGAGAGTTTGTTGCCAATTATTTATCAAATACCTTTTACTAGCATCCAATGTTGTAGACTATACTCTTTGGTCTAAATTGTACTTTGTTTTCTACATCACAGAAGGTTAACGCCATATTATGTAATGAATAACAACGGCTGTTTTCCAGTATTTTAATCCTAAACTAAAAAGTTGTCACTGCCATAGTTCGGTTAGTTGTTTGCTAGAGTTATGTTTGTTTGTCTTACATAAGATCATGTTGGTATGAACTTTTGAAAAAAACTAGATTTGAAAATTAACCCAATCTGCCAGCAGTCTAGTAAGCATACTGAATGATACAGGTACATATACACCAACTTATTTCAATTCATTGCGTTATTCTTTCAATTTCATTATGCAGCATGCATTGCCAATGTTTATTTTTTGTTATATTTTCCTTGTCTGCCCTTGTGAGCTAAACACATATGAAACTTATTACTGCAATAAGAATTGGAAATACTTTTCATTAAAAAATTAACTATAAGCAATTATATTGAAAAAAAAAGTTGTGAGAAACACCCAAACATTCAATTTATTTGAAGCTTTTAAAATATTTTTTCTCCAATTTTTGCAAGAATTATGTAAAAATTGCACTTCCTTGGTCATTAAAAATTTAAAATACAGTACAGAACATCTAGATATAATTCATTAAATCATTTTTATTATCATCTGAGGTATTTGGGAAGTGTTCAACTGCCAATGATATTTTCATTGCTTAAGAGAATTTGTAAATACTCACTGATAAATCCATTCCTGCATTCTGATTCATACAGTATATTTTTCTTAAATGAGACAAACTTTTCAGAATCTCAGATATGTCACATATGTGTTGGATTAAAAATGTGTTAGATATTGCAGGTTCATGGAACTGCTAAGATCTATATATTGCAGGACCAGCCAACGTAATTGCCAGTCCAAATATATATATTTTCTTTCTGAGACAGAATCACTTAATGGTATTGGGGTTTCTGTTTATTTAACTGTTCATTTGCTTAAATTCATTTCAACAATTTATTTTATTAATTCTATCTGCGATCTTCCTACCAAATTGAGTTTTCTGCAAAAAATAATAATAATAAATAAATAAATAAATAAATAAATAAATAAATAAATAAATAAATAAGGCAATTTTCTTCTATCAAAGATCATTCAGTGACCCATCCCTGCACCTGGAATTGTAGCACAAAAATTCATGCATTAGCACTCCTATTGACGATTCTGATATGTACCGTCTGTGCTAGATATCGTCAATAGTCAATCGTCAATAGGAGTGCTAACGCATGAATTTTCGTGCTTCTGGAATTGATGTTTTATCCGATTTCTAATCAATTTTTTTAGTTTTAGGATAAATTATTATAACTTTGAAATATTTTCAGACTTGACCAGTATACCACTTACTATATCATGCAAAATCTTTTCAACTCAAGAACTTAGTAATAGCTGATAACTTATATTCAAGTCAGAAACTAGACGTTATTGCTGGTCATTTGGGCCAATATGTAAATCATTGAAATGCACAAAATCAAAATTGCCACTTCAAAAATACTTGGTATTTGGGCAGCCAGAAGTGGAAAAGTTTCACCATACCCAGAACTTTCCCACAATCAAAGCAATGACAAATGCACCAGTATAAATCCTTCCCAATCAGCCTGAACTTGTCCCAGAGTTTCTGTAACTTTACATGTAAGTGTAACTGTAAGGCCCAATTTAATCAGTCTACTCCATGTACTTTGACTTGAGCTGGCAAAATCTGAACTTCTAAAACTGACATGGAAATATGTCTATAGGGAATAACGCCTTCACTATTTTAAGCTGACAGTTACGGGCACGCCTATATCATGTCTACACATTAACAAAGGTACTGGTGTGGCAAGGCCAAGGTCTCTGAAGTGCGTTTCCAAGTGCATTATTTACAAATATAAATCGCATAACGTTTAAAGCTGTGGAAAATCACATGATAATATATTACATCAGACTCTAAGCCTACCTTCTTTTGTGTTTCCAGGAATATTCCATCGATCTCCTTTATGCTTTCTTCAACACGCAAACTGCAAGAAGCTAGTCAGTCTAGAACTAATTCAGTTCATCACGCTTCCGCCTCGATGAAGCAGCACTCGAACTCAACGTACAAAGTCACTCTTAATTTGGTGTATGTTTACTTATGACGACTCACTTAATTCTGCTAACTGACTTTCTGAGGAAAGTATCAACATATTATGAAAAATTAAAGTGATATTTTGTATGCTACTATAGCTTTATATATACATTAATCTTTTTAACTTTTGATTATGAGGTAGCGAAACTAAGTAACATGTTAGTTTCAGCTCTGCAACAGAAATCTGCTGGTTCGTCGCTGAGTCTTTTTACATTAAGGAACTGCACCAAATCTCCTTTTTCATAGAAATGATCAGGTTATTTTCGCTTAAACAGCAAAAGAAGGATGGTACTGATCCAGGTGCTAAGCCCGGAAGTCAAAAGAAAGCCTCAGCTGCACAGTTAAGAATAGCAAAAGGTAGAGTGTCACTTGATCATGTTGAATGAGGAAAAATGCCATTTTTAGATATGACAAAATATATCTGATTCAATATTTGATTTCATTTTTTGAACGCCCGTCAAAATGCCCACTATTATGTGTTATTGCTGAAATTGTCACACCTGAAATTCATTATTGATTAAATGACACGGGTTTTGATTTTTAGTTACTGTGAAAAATACATGATAAATGCTTAAAATACCTATGGATACTTAAGCAGATACTGGACGCTGGTTCGTATGGAACCTTAATATCCAGATCTTCTTCAAATTTGTCAAGAGCC